TTCCCTGTACAGAAGTAAAAAAAAAAAAAAAAAAAAAAAAAGAACCTGCATTTGGCTTTCACAATTTTATTTTCACTTTCTTACAGCTTCCTAACGCTAAAGTAATTTGCCATGCCTTTTCTCTCTCATCTGCAGTCTTTCACAAGGTAGTAATAAGGGTCCTTTGGTCATTCCAGGATATCTGCGAGAAACGCTCCTATTATTTTCTTGAAGTACAAAGATTCCTTAACTACCCTATATGTACATAATCAATAGGGGTATGCTAATTTTTCTAGTTAACTGTAAGAGGAAATTAGTCATGCTGGGAAGCTTTTTCTGTATAGAGGAATATTATTAACCTGGATAGTTGACCAGCTAGTCATTTTTTAAAAAAAAAGGAAAATGCAGAGTTTTCTGTTTCATCTCCATAAAATCATCAGTGCAGATTGAGCTAAGATTACTAATTTTCAGAAAGGACATTGCTGTAGTCTCCTTTGGGACTTGTGCAAGAAGAATAGCAAAAACCCATTTATTATACGTTATCAGCCTATATAGGAAAGAGATTAGATGTAAAATAGGATGTATTCTGATACTATCACACACTGATGTGAATACCCATGAACTTCTTAAAATTCAGAGTTTAAAGAAATTTTTCCCCACCAGGGCTCAAGGTAAATTTTCTATCTGCTTATTTGGAAGGGTGTTGCAAAGAATTTTTCTCATAGTAGTTATTTTGGATGATAACAAAAGCTATATATAATGCATTACACATCAGACTTTTTTCCTGTTTTCAATCGTATTTTTAAAGCATTGTTCAAAGTCCTGTGATAGAATACACCAGTATCCTTTGCCCTTTACAAACTAAGATTATATTTAGTTAAATGGTCCAAAGGCATTAATTATTTTAACCTATAATGATAATATCGAAATTATTTCCATATAATAACAAACCCATGTAAGTGGCAGAGCTCCATTTACTTCACTAGTCACTGCCTGTCCTTTCTTAGTATACATTCCAAAATATGTGCAGAGTCCTATTAATGCTTTACTGAACTAAATCTTTTTTCTCTTTTCACAGCCTTAATGAGAAGCTTATGTCCCCATTTCTGCCATCATTTACAGACCACTTAACTCTAATTTTTGTGTAATTTAGACAAGGACATGCTACTTTGTACTTTTATTTAAATTATATAGAATCATTACAAGAGGGGGAAAAGGCATCCCCCAGAAAGACTGCCTTGGCACCAAGTCATAAGTCAGAAAGGAGTGTACTCTGCTTGCTAGTCATCTTAAATTCTTTCCTGTGGATTTAGATAATTTTCTAAATGAGAAGTCCCAAGGGAAGACAGCTTCAGGCTCCTATTTAACTATCACTGGACAAAAATAAAAATAATTAGCAAAATTAATGAGATCATATACCTTTATCATGCCCTGTAAAGAGATGACCACTTTAATATGGGTATTTTAATTTAAATTATGGATATTCCCTTCACCCAGTGTCCCATAGTCTGAAAAATAATCACATCTGATAATAAAAAAGCATCAAATACTATTCCATTAAAATGATACTATGGTGATGAAATTGCGGAAAATAGTATAATAGCTACAAATTGTTATCATCTTATTAAGTTCTGCAAAATGTTATAATTTCAATATTCTTAATTGAGTGATTCTGTTCTAAATGCTGTTTTGATGCAAATAAGAAGCTTGTATATTTTTGTCTTCCTCCTACAAAGTTTTCTAGATGACTAACTTCCAAAGGTTAGGCCTTTTACTTTCCCTTCCATGATTACTTCCTGTTTCACTTATGGTCACTATGGTTCTTTTCCTTTTAAATGAGCTTTGAAACCATTAATGTTAGAGTGATTCAGAGAAGACATATGAGCAGCATTCCAAATGAAAGGGGTTTCCAAATGTTGGATTTAATTATGAAATTATGTCTATGCATAATGTATGTATATTAATTACTGATAATTTTTTTTTTCCTTTTCGCTTTTTATGTCTTTTGTAAGATCATTTCTTCCTGCTTTTTCTAGGGATCAATAGAACATTATGGGTTTCCTAATATTTAATGGGTTTCCTGTTATGGTCTGGTATTTGGCACAGTTCTAGAGTACAACTGCAGGGTCTCAAAAGATAAACAAGAGTTAGAGGTATATTACTAGAAGACACTTAAAATGGACTTAAACCAACAACAGCCCTTAGTTAGCCCGTAAACCAACAATAACCCTTAGTTTGTGAGTCACCTGCTGCTTCTTACCAAATGGGATGGTATTGACATTGACTTGTATCTGTTCCTGGGGCAACAATGACTGAGAAATTTCTGAATCTCTAACCACCAGGCTTTACTGAGTCAAACACTTGCTGAATTGCTTGCTTTGTGTCCACTCTTATTTTTTGCAGTGCTTTAGTCACATGGAGGCTGTCCCACTTGGGTCTATTTTTGGCTAATTCTTAATCTTGAAGTGGAAGATTGACCAGAAAAGTCCTCCAACCTCCCATCAACATCTAGCTGCTGTGCGATCAAGAATTAAAATTAATTTAAATTTCATCCTATGAAAAATATAATTAGCAAGGGGAATCTGCTGCCAAAATAACTTGTGCCCCTCATTTCAATATGCAAATGGGTTTTTTAAAAAATTACCCACCACTTCGCATTGATATCTGTTTGTGTGGATAATTGGAGCTCATGAATATGCCATTTTAAGACACTCCCCTATTTTCTATTCTTTTGTATTTCCCCCCTTGGGTCATCCAGCCCAGAAAAGCTAACAAACTGTCCACAAGCCCAGTTCTTCTGATAAAACTCAATGCTACATTTAGTCTTTTCTGTTAAACATACAAAGCTCTAAAAAGATTCCATCAAGGAACTGGCAGATAGAACTGCACAACTGGCAGGTAAAACTGCATATTTCTTAAATATGATACTTGGAGAAAGGTAGTGGTGAAGTTGCACAGAGGGTTAGGGAATAGTAGGAGAGGGAAACAGAGTCGTTAAATGCATACACACACCAAAAAATGCTTGGTACTCTTAAATAAAAATACAGCTTATAGATTCTTGGAATATTGCTTCAGCAAATAGGGATCAAAAGTGACCATTTTAAATCCAAAATCCTGTGCAACTTTGAACAGATTAACTCTCACTGAGTCTCCTTTTCTTTCTGTTAAATGAAAACTTCATTCTGTTTTGATTCTTTAGCATTTCACAGACTGACAGAGATGATGATTCACCCACATTCCAGCAGGTTAAGAGGGCACCCTACTTAGTTTAGTGGATGAACTTAAAACAACCCAAAGGAAATGTTAATTTACATTAACAGGGGGAAAATAGGGAACATATTGAAGTAAGAGCTGGTATCAATTGAAAATATAAGTATATTTCCTTAAGGTTTCTAAAATAAAGATAGAAGTTTCCCAATGGATTATTAATGGAAATTAAAGTGCTTCAAGAATCCCTTCCTCAGTGGGTCTTTGGGAGTCATAAACAGATCCCTGAGCTAAGTGAACCTTGGAAGGCAAATAAGTAATACTTTACCCTTGCTCTTAGAGCTTTTCCTCTCTGCCATCCATAAATGTATACCACTGAAAACAGTTGAAAAGCCTTTCTCCTCTTCTTTCTTCTATTTCCTTTCTTCCCATGAAAGTGCTGAAAACAAAGACAGGGAAATGCCTACAAGGTAGGCAGGTGATGGGGGGAGGCTATAAAGCCTGGCCTCTGGATACTGAATGTTTAACAGACTCTCTCCTAAAGCGTTAAGGCAGCCATCCATGTAGTCTCTGGAGTTTGTCATCTTCTGGCTATCAGCATGGCACAGGTTAAGCACAAATTATATTCTAATATTGGAACTGCTGTCATAAAAAGTAAATAATTGGTCTGATTCAGTGAGAAACAGAGGTAAAAAGTGGAAAGCTCAACCCAGCTCAAGGTCATTATGCCTCCATATGACTTTCTTCTTTATGAGTTAAAAGTAATGGTTTCTTGGCATTCAACTCTAGCCCCTGAGCAAATCCACTGACAGCTTCTAAAATATGTGCCTATGCTGAACCCCCATTGCACTACAAGGTACACATTGTATCATTGGCTGCCCAGGCAACTGGCTGGAATGTGTCCTAATAGAGCTTTTTAGGGTCACTTCACCAAGGACCCCAAGCTATGTTGATATTGAGGCCAAGTCTACACAGGCATAGTCAAAGAGAAATTTGAGAATGACAAAATTCCCCTCTACAGAAACACAAATCTGAAGTCAGACTTGCTGTATTTGAATCTCAGCTATACCATTTAGACAACTGCTTACCTTGAGTGTTTTTTGGTGAGACCAGGATAGGGAGGGAGAGGGTGATCCTCATGTATAAAGTGAAGTTAACAATAGCAGCTGCCTCCTACCATTGCATTAGGAAGTTCTATACAAAGAGTTTAAACAGCCACATAGTACGTGTTTGCCGCTTTTATTGTGATCAGTATTGTCAATGATGTTACTACTGCTATGGCTTCTGAATTTCGAATTAGGGGCCGTAAGTGTTCCATGCCAGCATTGCCACTTACTGTATGTGTGCTGTCTTAAGGAAACTTCTAGACCTCAGCGTTCTCATCTGTTAAGTTTTGTGACTTTATTGGGTTCTCTCAAGATTTCCATTTGATGCCACACCATTAAGTGCCTCGATATCCTAACTGAAATATAAGTACAGCTTTTTTGACCTGAAAAGTCTAGATAAATGCCTCACTGCTCTGGTTCACTGAAAATGTTGGGAATCACCTCATGTTTCACGAGAAAGAATGAAAAAAAAATCTATTTTCTTAGTTACATTCCAAGAAGGGTCAGGAGATCCAAGTATATTTTAAATATTTCTTTATTCTTATTAAAATAACTTGTCATGGAAGTCTGACTTTAGAGGAATTATGCATTCTTTGACTTTAATTTTTTGTAACAGCTGCATTACTGACTATTTTTTTTTAAAAAGCTGTTATCTCTAAATCTTATGTAGAATTTGGTACAAACCTCTTTTTCAAAGCTGGGATTTTATTTCTAAAAACATGCTCTTTAATTAAAATGTGTAATAAAGCCAAATGATAGGGTAGTAAAAAGTAAAATGAAAGAAATGTATGTATATACTTGTATACCTACACATGTAAATACATACACACACTTGTCACAGAATGTACAATTATTCTCAGGACTGCAAAAGATCTGTTTAATATAATAAATAAAAACATCGAATATTATCTTGTCATCACAGGTAAAAGAGGCAAATGAAATCTCACAAGAGGATGAAGAAGATACAGTTGCAGATGCTGCATTTCAGAGCCATATCATAGGTAAAAATTCAAGTCTTGATACATCTTTAGCATGAGACATTATCCATATGCAACCATTTTTGTCTCATGCCTCCTTCTGTCAGGATTGAGTCTTAATTGTTTTGCCTAATCATTGGACGTAAAATAAGTGGGTCAAAGCAGCACATATAAAAAGAAAAAACACAGGTGCTTGCAAAGAAATGTAATACAAAGTGACAAAAAAGTGAGTACTCATCAATATAAAATGAAAATAATACTGAGGTAAATAATTTGTCCCTGAGGAGAAAATCAACTTAGAATTGATCCAGCTTCTCAAGAAACACTTAGTGACCTCTTGGTTAGACTTACTGGGGTGGCAGCTTTTTAAAAATGATTATGTTTTAGACTGAATATGTTGTAGACATAGAAACAAGTAGAGTAAGTAAATATAGCTGGCTGAAATCTTCATCTCATTTTCTTCATCATTTCTGTTAGAACCCTGAAGATAGCCTTGTCTCTGAAATAAGTTCAGCTTGTCAGCTATTTCTTAAAATTATGCTAACATCAGACTGAAGGAACTCAAGTTTCTCACACAGATGGACTTTGCTGACCTGTTTCAGCTGCTGAGGCATAATGTGTCTGTGATGCTTGTCAGGAGATAAGCAAGCTGATCACTTTTATGGCGCTGGACCACCATGCACGCTTGCAGAAAGTGTTGTTCCTTGAGCTCAACAAACAGTTGTGAACTAAGCATGCTGCTTCTGTGGCTCTACACGAGACCACAAGGCCTGATGACATCACTTCTGTATTTCCCATCTGAGTGTAGTGAAAAGTATTGAGTACCATGCTCTAGAGTATGACAGCCCCACGGGTTACTGGTTATCAGCATCCGGTGGTATGATAGTATCCATTGCTCCACACTTTCACTGGAATCTCTTTAGGTGCCAATTCTCAGCATCTCACCACTCTCTTGCACCATTTTGCTATGTTTGGGGCTAATTTCGTAGCATACCCAGAGGTCTTCTGCAAACTATAATTTACAGTTTATCTCAGAGAGTTGTCATACCCCTGCAGCGTAATGGGACTGGTGCACCATTATTATTCTCTTCATTCGTAATTGGGAATACAAAAGTTTTAACAAACAGCTGAGTTAGTATAGACTGAATAAGATTGTTATTTCCAAAAGACATCTTTTATTATAGTTGTCAATGTAAAATGCTTAATTTGATATCAGTTCTGTGTAAGTTAGCTAATAGGAAAGTTAAATATTGTTTAACAGCCTTCAAACATGATGGTAAGTAAAGCCCCACTGAGTCATCATTATTCCATAATGAAGTGTGCTTGGGCCTATAAAAAAAGAGAATATGTATATCAAGCTAAAATATATCAAGAGAAGTACAGTAATTAAATATATTTAACAGAATACCAGTTCTTTAGATCTTCACTATTCAGTATGATAGCCACTAGCCATATATAGCTATTTCTAATCAAATTGATTAAAGCAATGTAAAATTTAAAATTCCACTTCTCAGTTGCACTGGCCCCATTGTGAGTATTCAGTAGCCACACATTCTGTATGTTCTACATGAACATTTCCTTTATCACACATACTTCTGAGCAGCGTTGCCTTAGATTACGCTAAGAAAGTGCACTTGGACTGTGTTTTTGACAGAGAACTGACTTGGTTTTGGGTCATGGTAGATTTCTCTCTTTAAAGTGATAGAGAACTACATGAATAAGTTGCTATTGACCACAAGTACAGGCAACAACAACAAAAAACCTGACAAGCCATTGCTTAAGTAATAAAGTCATTTAACCTAAGTCTTACATAACTAAAGTCTGGAGGAAAGTGAACATGAAAAAGATGTGTAGCAGCCCAACAATGGAATCAAAAGCCCTGGCTCATTTTACCTCTCTACTCAATCATCATTGCCATCATCAGATTTTACATCCCCTGCTTGTTGCCTCTGGTTGCAAATTGATTTCTACTACTCTAGGCATCCCATCTACTTTCAAGGCAAAAAGTATAAGGAAGAGTAAAAAACTTCTTCCAAATCCACACCATAGACGCCATTTCACATGTCCTTGGTGAGAAATGGGCCATGCCACTAATCCTAGCTGTGAAATGTGGGGAAACTAAGTGTGTTGCTTTCCAGCCTTCATTGCATGGAACAGCAGGAAGGGAGGGTTGAGACTGTTTCCTGGGCTAGCCAGTCGAGAGGCTCATTGCAGATATTTTAAAATGTTCCTGCAATTGAACACTGAATGAGACTCAACACAGTCAAGTGGTTACTTCCCTTTATCCAACAAAAATGACCAAGAATGTATTTTCTGTTAATCTCAATGTTGCTCATTTTGTGTAAGCTAAGTATTGTCATATATTATCACAATATTTTAATGTATTATTTGTATACTATTTCCAATAACAGCAACTGAGCAAATCTAAGCATAATCTTCTTCCAACCAAATGTCAACTAATGTCTTTGAGAGAACAATCAAGAAAGTTGTTAATCTGAATATTTGCATTTTGTGACTAAGTGTAATCATGTTAGTTTAATAAAAATGTTAAAAGTTAATTAAAAGACAGTATATTGTTAACTAAACCTAGTCTCTATTAAAACTCAAAATTAATGAATTAAGTAAAATAATGCAAGTAGGTATTTCTTAAAATTGCTCTAGCAAATGTCAGATGTCCATATTAATAAGCAATAACTAGTCAAGCCTACTAGAAGTATTAACGCAAATGAATACAACCACCAGTACTTCTAATTGTTAATTCTTGCTATTTACCTGTGAGGGGACTTTTAAATGTTCACAGAAAAATGAGAGTGCAAAGTACAAGTTTATTTTGGTGCAAAAAAAATTCAAATCCATACATAGTTTATATATATATATAAAATGTGCACTTTCCAAGAACTTTTTGAAGACTTCTCATATAATAGATTTACCCTGCCCTATATATCTTACTAATTGTCTATTGGGGTTAATAAAAATAATCGGAAATCAAACCAATACTATTCTCCTATATTAAAAACATCAGTACAGTGATAAACAGTTGAAATAATTCCCCAAGTAGAAACAAGGGATTTGTAAATTCTTATAGCATGAGGAAAACATCTTTCGAGGTATTGGAGGAAGAAGTCAAGCAGAGTCCAATGGTATCCAAAAAAATAAAGATGCATAGTAGATTTTCATACAGTAAAGGGTATACAGTAGTTTTCCCAAATCTGAAAGAACCGCAAAGAACAATTTTCCCAGTAGTCTAATGGACAAATGCCTAAGTTCTCACGAGTGAATGAGATCTCTTTTCTTTTTTTAAATTTTTTTTTCATGAGTGAGAAAAACTAAGAGACAACATTCCCATCAGAGGTGCTGTGATCCACCTCCAGCCTTAGCCAGCCTATGGGATGCACGAGCTCAGCATACTCAGAGAGGTCTCTGGCCTTGCACTCCAAACCATCCCTCATGGGTGAGCCTTGCAGAGCAGCATGATTTACCACTGTGCCCCTGTCTGGCCCCGGACGGGATCTCTTTACTCTTGGCCATTGGTTGGGCATATTTCTAGCCTCTTTGGCAGGGGCAGAAGGGTTTCTGCCAACGAGGTCAGTTTAACAAAGCACGTGGTCTGGCCCTGATGATCTAGTTTCCTTGACATAGCTCTGTGAAGTTGCCTTGGTGTTCTCCCTACCCCAGGAACTGACATGTCCTCTGAGAGATCCTACTACAACTTTCTGTCCTCCTTCTTCCATTTCTCCCAGACTAGAGCTCTACTGCCAGCAGCTATTGTATCCTGTAGGAGAATAACAGGTGATCAGTATATCTCTTTGACTTAACAAATCATAAACCAGTGTATTTCCATTTTTCTATGTGCTTCATTTCCTTATTCTTTGTCCTCTCCTACACTTTAGCTAAGTAATATGGTGAACTATAGTAACTCATGTCATTGTAGTGGGGAATTATGTGCATTATAACAAGAACTCAGGCAAAGTTTTACTTGTAGTGAAGGAGAATGCTCGGAAGGTGTAAGTTTCAGGCACTCAGAGCTATGGTGTGAGCAATTACAGGATAAGGAAGAAAGGACAGCATTAAACCTACTTCAGACAATGAGCAGCACAAAAAGTAGTACCACAAGGAACAGGTATTTGGTGAATTAACACTGATTTTGAGAAGTGGCCTAACTTAGGACCAAGAACTGAAACAAAGTTTTGTCCAGCCAAATAGGGATATTTCCAGCACCATGTGCAGTGGCAATTTCATCTGTGTGACACATAAGCCTGTGTTCTTGGAGCCTCTTATCATCTAAACATGAGACATCTGACCCTCAGGCATGTGCCTAGCCTGCAGTTAGGTTTAGGCAGAAGGGACGGAAGAGTTGTAAGGTGTACAGTTGTTACTGTCACAGAATCTCTACCCCAGAGTCAAATGGAGGTTGGCAAGTGTGGCAGCTTCTACACCCAGTGGAAGAGGGAATGTGGCCTCTTGCCAAAATGTTTGTGGCTGTGGCTGTTCCTGTGGTCAGGAGAAAAAGGGAAGGCCTTCCAGGCTCTTGAATCTAGTGCTTCACTTACAGAGAGAACAAAAACCAGGATCCAGTGCTTATCTTGCTTGAATGGAAAGAACTGTAGAATCTACATTATTGTATCAAAACCCAATAAAATATGGTCAACCATAGTTATTTATTATTTCCACTTAAATTCTATTATTTCAGTTCTCCAGGTCACATTTACTTTTAAATCCAAGACTGGGTTCCCCTATTAGTACTAATAGTATTAGGTTCAGGTGGCAATGAGAGACCTGAAGATGCAGTGGTTTAAGTAAGGACTGACATCCACTGCTATCTTGAAAGTCCATGGGAAGGTGACCCAGGCTAATAAAGTGGTTGGCAGGCTCCTCCTGTCTTGTCCCTCTGCTGAGTAGGGTTCCCCTTCCTCATATGATTTCTAGTCCTAAGGTCACTTTGTGTCTAAGATGACTGTTAAAAAGTCATCACTTATGTGCACTTTTTAGCAAGCAGGAAGAAGGTAGGATTGAAGTTAGCCCAT